GCAAAAAATGTGTTTATGTATATATATATATATATATATATTCTGTTCATGTATATACTGTATTCTATATATAGTACAAGTCAAAAGTTTGGACACAGGAATGGGAAAGTGTAAAAACTTTTGACTGGTGCTGTACTATAATATACACAAAGAATATCGGCCAATATATCGATATCAGCCTTTTCTTTACTCCCTAATATCGGTATCGGCCACTCAAAATCCCATATCGGTCGGGCTCTAATATATATATATATATATATATATATTAGTAATTTTTGTAACAAAGACTTAAAGCTTAGCAGTGGTAAAGCCAAAGGTTCAAAACTGATAACGCTGGCAGGCCCATATCAAAGTAATGAACAAGAATATATGGAACAGTACACCTCTTTATCTATACATTAAAAAAAATACAGCCATTTCAACCGGTTCATTTTTAAACGAGAATAATAATCTATCTCGTCAACCTGTGAAGCGGCGTCACAGCTAACATTAGCGCAGTAAGTTACAGAAGTAACGTTAACGTTAGCTGTCAACTGTCAGAGAGCTGACAGACTCCATTGAACAACCGTTAGCGTGATGCAGCGTGTGATCTTAACTGATTACCAACAACCCTAACATCACAACTGGTTAAATATATACGTGGCGCAGCGGTGACAGTCACACACACCACAGCCGCTTCAGTGTAACGTTAGGTAAACCCACAGAGCTAACTAGCAAAACCCATTTATTACGCCCTAAATCCGACATTTTCAAACAAATTTTCAACCTAGAATTATCCAAGGGTCTTTCTTCTAATCCTAAGAGCGAACTCGCCCTTCACTCACACAAAGCTGACTTGCCCACTCCATTTTTGGCGGATGAATGAACCTGCTCGCGGAATTGTAGATAGTCGATGGTGTGTTAGCTGAATGCTAATGGCTCGCCAGCTAAAGCTTCATGACCTTCTTAATCAGGGTTTATGGGAGCGCACAGTTAAGCCTTTAATCCAGCGGACTGTATTACTGTCCAACCATGCAGCGCACAAAGCCATAGATAAGTAGAAACGAGGCACCGTACCTCAGGTAAACCGAGAAATGCTCCTTACCGAAGTGAAGAGTGAGTGTGTACAAGTCGGCCTTCTTCCTTCCCTCCCACCTTACATGTTTTGTCATCATATGATTCACACTTCCGTCTTCCGCCTTCATTAAGAGGAGTTTTCGTCTCATGTTACATGCTGCTGAATGCAATAAGATTACAGTAAAATCATCATTGGTTTTCAGTTTGAATTCATTTAAACATAAGACTCAGATGTTATGATATAGTTATGCGAGCATAAATTACACAATACCCTACAAATTTTGCACCTAATATCCTATTCTATTGGAAATAGCAAAACTTGCTATAGGTTATTCTGTTATATCCTCACATAAGCATGTCAACAAAATCATTGTCAATGAATGTCTTATTTTGTGTAATGTCAAGTTTACAAATGCATTTTAACTTTTCATCTTATCAAGATATCTTGAATATAAATTTTCGAACACAACAAGTTTTCTATTTTTTGTCATTATTTCTCTTCTACTAAATTTTGAATGTTCTCTAAATTTTGATATATATTATTAAAATAATAGGTCATTGTGGCCATCATATGTGTATCTTCATTCCACATTAAAGAAGAAATACAAAGCATTTCATACAAAACATTTTTTTATTACAAGAATTAAATTAACAGCAATTGGTTTTCAAGGAACAGTGGAATGTTGGTCTTGCAATATTGCTATTCCACACAGACAAATTCCACAATGTCAAGACCTTACATTTCATTGTCAACATTAAAGAAAAACAATCAGCCAAACAATCTGCAGAAATTAAAAGTGAATCAATACACATTCAGATTTCAAATCATCCAACAGCCTTTTCATTTACTGAAACCAGAGCATGACATAGATTCAACATGCATTTTGTAGATCACATTCTGAACATCATATTTGCATAATGCAAATCAGATGGGTTTGCTCAAGTAAATAAAACATGTGAATCTACATGCTTGTAGTTCCGATGTCAATAATGGAAGAAAAAAAAAAACATCCATGCAATAAATATATATTTTTAAATGTATAAATGTGATTAGAAACGCATAACGAATGTCATCATAGAAAAGAAACATCTTTCTGTAAAAAGTTTTTTTTTTTTTGGAAAGCAGAACAGAATAAATTCTGGAGCTCAAAGTGGGTTAACTGTACAAATGTATGGCAGTTAATTAGATACTTTAATGACGACTGAATGTGTAGTGTGTATGTGTGTTTGACTAAATTGAGAATTAGGCACAGCAATATAATTTGAAAGACAGCAGAAAGCTCTACTCTAACCCTAACCCTAACCCTAACCTATGTGAGAAATTTAACAGTGTCCTAAAGTGTCACAACAGACGTTTAAATGGCAATGAACATAGAAGCAATGTGTAGTGATGCATTGTATTGCAGTTTTTACACAAGAGGTGTTGTGGAGTGTCATTGGCCATGCTAACAGCAATAATCCTACGGTTGCAGTCCTTAAGGCAAAAACACTGAAAACCATTTCCATAAAATCTGCCTTACATTTTCTGACCCCTTTAATGTTCACTAAAACAGCGAACATCAGAACATCTCTCAATAAAACACTTGAGCTCATAAATACACGGCAGTAATGTATAAAGCCTCCAAAAGAGAACATACCAAAAGTAAACATTTCATCCATCCATTCAGAAACATACAACATTGTCCCTTTATGATAAAACAGTTCACCCACAACCAATCACCAATGCCTAATAACTTACTCATTTAATATAAATAATCAATCCAATGCCAAACCAATATGTATGTAGTGTAATTCATTTAAGTAGAGTCAACGTTTTCCCCTATTTTAAGCAATGGTCTACTAGATGTGTTTGGGGAAAAAAACACAATCCATAAACATCCACTCAAGTCAAACTTTCTTATTATACTTTCAAGTCACACAAACATCACCAGTACCAATCAGTTAAAAAAAAGAGAGAGATTTCAACCACTTGGTGGCGCCATAAAGCTTTAAAAGAAATGTAATATCTGCTGCTGATGATGACAACAGTAGAAAATATCACTACTTCATAAGCAGTTTTGGACTCAATATGGCTTTCACAATAAAAGGGCCTGATTTCCTGGATGATTACCATTTGTATACATAGTTTGTAGTGATTTCCATATTTTGAAAAACATCTGATCGGTGTTTAATATGGCACTATCTTTTATTAAATGTCATTCATTTCTCACTTGTAGATAAATCGAGCAATTTACTTTAAACATAGACTTTAAACAGAGGAACGCTGATAAAGCATGATCTTGTTGTTACTGTGACCTTAAACATGTGCGATTGTCTCAGAGTTGACAAAACACAGGATCCATCCAGTATAACAAACATTCCCTACCTCACACTCTCAGACTGAACCACCCAGATACATACACACACCATCTCTTCATCTCTATTTCACAAACACAACTTCTCATCCTTACTTTAAGGCAAGAACATTTGTCAAGGCAACATTCAATAGCAACATTGCATAGCTAAGGCAGAATTACCATACTGAAATAAACAGCATACATTTTGTACATTAATATTAAAGTCAATTAATAATTATTATATTTACATTACACTACCACGCATTTAAGCAAATTAACATATTTTACATAAAAACCTATACATTAACCATATTAATTTGTACAGAAAACAATAAAATACAACATTTGTTTGTCTGCCAAGGTGATATTAAGCACATAATGTGTGAATTATGTCTTCTCATAAACGTTTCTGAGAAGATTCCTCGAACCGATTCAACAAGCTGATATGCCGTCCTATTTATCCTGGGCTAAAACAACAGTACAGCCACTTAAATTGCATTTCCAATTTGGATCATTTGGATTTCACATGGAAGTATGGTCAAAATGTCATTTAGGCGTTTGTCTTGCACATAAAATTACACCAAACTGATTCCAACATCTTATTCGCTCTACTGATTCTACAGCTCTTATTCTCCAGTATGCAGTATACTCAGTATATTACAATTCCCTGATTAAAATAAGATTTTTACACTTCGTTCCAAAACTTAACAAATGAATACTTTACTAAACCAGCTAAAATTTGTCCTCATGGAACTAATTCAAAAACAGGTCATGAGGATATTAATAAAGAGCATTAAAACCTATACAAATCTCTTAAGGGAAATGCAGTAATTTCCTTTCTCAAACAGAAAAAAAAATCTATGGAAAAATGATGACTCGAACAAAATTAAACATAGCTCAGATGGTGCATGTACAGTAGCTCTCCGATTTACTTCACAACAGGCTATGTTGGTCCACGATGTCAAGAATGGCGTTGTATGTTCTTTGCCACTTTAGGACACATCTGTCTCCAGTGAAATGACAGTAAGGATTCCAGCATCCTGCTACATGTTTTACACAACAGTCAGATGTTCATCATCTCAGTCTTACAAATGTGCTTTTTTTTCCACCCTTCCTTTCTCTAATCTGACTATAAAGCTTTATATGCTGAGCGAATGAATACAGACCAAGTCAGTTGCTTGTGTACATCATCATCATCATTCACTACATCCAGGCCTTGTTGTCTAGGCTGGACTCTGAAGAATAGGCAAACTCTCTAGAGCCAATAGCTGGGGAACGATGCTGTGGCTGGATGAGGTCAGCAAAGGCCTGATGCAGAGCTTTGTGTGAGGGTTGGTGATTGTTTAAATGTGGGGACTGTGGTGGGGTCTGGAGGGGAGATGAATCGGCAGGAGACTGCTGACAATGATTTCTGTATCGTACAGGTGTAGGGATGTGTGACGGACTGTTCTCGGGTCTGTTGTCAGTGCGGGGTCTTATCCGCGGCCGTAGCTTGAGCTTGTAGATGGAGGGCACCCTCTCTGCCTTCTTTTTACCTTTCTTGGCACGGAGGATGACTGCGTCATTCGTATCCCCATTGGCCAGCGGTAGAGGAGGAGTGCAGGACCCTTCAGATGGAGGCTCACTCAGACTTAAGCACATGGAGGAGCTCTCACTGGAAGAGTCCTGGTAAGAACAGTCATCTAGAGGTGGTGGAGGGGAGGGAAATGTCTCAAGAAGTGGCAGGTCAGCATCGTCATATGGCAGGTCCGAGCGATGTTCGGTACTTTGTGGTACATCTCCCTCCCCCCCAGCCCATTCCACCAGGTCCTGCTGGCTTTTCATTGGCACCTCCGTCAAAGGGAGGCTCCCATTGATGTCTTTGGGGAGGCACACTGACCTGGATAGGCCTGGATTTGAGGCCTCTCCTTCCTCTGTGGAGCTGGAGATGGCAGGGAGCTTACGAAGACCTCCTCCTTTACCCCCCCATCGCTCTCCCTCCAGGAGCCCTCCATTGGGGAGGCCTCCACGACTCTGGCTGTGGAGAAGAGCAGGAGGGTCCTCGAGTGCACCGGTGCGAGGATTAGTCCGTTTAGACTCTCGCAAATCAGGTAGGATTCCCACCTTACCTCCGACATTAAGAGAAGATGTTGAAGAGTTAGAAGAAGAGTAAGCCGAGTCTGTAACATTAGTGTCACCCGAAGAGTTTGGGAGCACTCCTAAACCTTGTTGGGAGACAGGGAGCTGTAGCGACCTCATTTCCCTCCCAGTGGACGCTTTACCCTGCACAGCCTTGGTTTGTTGCGTGTTGGCCAGGAACTCGGCCTCAAAGCTGCGATATAAGTCTTGCTCCCTTTGAGGGTCCAGACTTGGCAGCAGGTGTAAACTAAAACTACCACTGTCCTCCTGGCTGTCCTGCTGCTGGTTGTAGGGATTTGCCCAACCTTTTTGGTCTCTCCCTGCGGGTCGTGAATTGTGTGCAGACCGAGGGGAACGTGGTGGGTGGTGATGACTTGATCGAGGGGAAGAATGCGGAGAGCGGCGCCCTGGCTGTGTGACAGGAGGAAGCAACTTTCGACTGCCAGTGGAAGGCGACAAAGGCGCAGGGGGGCGTGGCGCTACCATCCCCTTTTTCACAGGACTACCGCTGGCACAGCTTTTCACAGGTGAGTTAGAGGCTGAGGAAGATGCTTGCCTTCTGGGCAAACTTCCATTTGTTTTTGAGGATGCTGCGGGCATGTGCTTGGGTCTTAGTTCCTCTCTCCGATCTACTGAAAGAGAATGAGGGTCTCTGCGGCGAGGTGATGATCCAAGGCTGACGTCACCCAATCTAGGAGTCTTGCCCTGGCTGAGGGAGCGTGGAGCCAGCAGCTTCCTAGGACCTTCGGGTCCTAGTGATCTGCCTCTCTCTGTGCGGGGAGTTCGATGTACCTCTGTTGGGACCTGTGGTGGAGTAGGTTTCAAGACTGAGGTGGACAGTGGTGCAGGGCGCTCTCTGGAAGCACTACGGGCACGGGTCTGAGGGGTTCTCAGGGCTGGAATCTGTGCTCCTGCTCCAGGACGCTCAATCACGTGTTTCCCTTCCTTACGGTTCACCAGCAGAACCACCTCGTCTCCATGAGCATGCCGTGTACCCAGAGAGAAGCGTCCTCCTCCTGTGCTTCCTCCTCCACCTTTAGACGAGGCTGTGGAAGAGTCACTATCTCCTGATAGCCTGCGAGTCAGAAGAGATTCCTTATTCCTGTGTGTAAGAGAAAAGAGAGAACGATTAAGATTAAGATGGATATTGGGATGTATGGGATTACAAAAAAAACAAAAAAACAAGCCATAATTCTCAAACATCTTATTTTTATGATATTTTTGACATATTTTGTGTCACATACACATCACCTTAAAGGCCTTTAATTTCTTTCTTGGTATTCTTGGTTAGAATTACTAATCCACATAACTTCCATAATCTCCATGATTTTATGTGATACTTATCACATTTAACAACATTGAGAATCTGTACCAAGCATGCAGGGAAATGCATGCAAGGTTGTATCCTCAGCAGCCATATTTTTGGATTAAAGAAAACCATCATATAGGAAGGGAGAGAGAGGGATTACTCATGCTCTGGCATTATCAAACACACGCACACAGACACTTTCTTACATACACTACCTCTTAAATTCTTAAGAATGAAACTGACATTGTCCCTCTTTCCTTTAACCTTAAACTGGCTTGTGTAAACCGAGACAAAACACTAAAAACAGAGTGTGTTTATGAATAAAATCACTGCTTTAAAATAATTTCTTAAACTTAGAACTTCCAGATCCCAAGATACACTTGAAAGTGAAAGTGCTACCTTATTCTGCCCTCATTTGATTTTATTCAAATATACACTCTTATTTAGACAAGAAAGTGAAAAACACACACCATGACACCCGGGTTCTGTAATGGGACCTGCATAAACCCTGTTCTGACCGGTTTCTTCAGTGACAGACTTGGGGGCTGAGATTATCCTAATCTTCAGTAATCCAGTCTGCCTCACCTGCAGCTCTGGGAGTGCAAGTGTTAAAGTGTGCTGCTCTGACGCTTGGCCTTCATCATTAGTTAGCCTACGGAAACCGAGGCACACAGCCAAGGTAAACCAGCAAGCTGTTCATGGTCCAGTTATACAATGTCTTGGCTGCACACACGGACATACAATATACCATGTGATGGAAATAATGAAGCACCTTTTGAAACTTCAGGATGTTTAGGAGTTATTTGTTCATTGCTCTAAGTGTGCAGTGATGCATAAAGTGTTTATATAGTCATGCTTAAATATTAATTTCAGGCAGTTGTAAAAGAAAGAAAGAAAATATATATAACTGTCCATTTGCTCAGGAAATACTAAAAAAATTAATGACTAAAAAATATATACATTTATCCAAAACATGTTATCACTTGCATAATTAGGCAGAGAGAACACTGTGTCTACTTGTAAAATTGTAATAATTTTTTTCTAACACAAGGGGGAGTCACAAACTGGACAAGAAGAGGATTGATGTCAGGACAATGTCACCTGGGATTAGTTCAAATCTGCTTGCAATAATCTGCGGGTGTGTGTGTGTGTGTGTGTGTGTGTGTGTGTGTGTGCCTTAAGATGCAGCTCATCGTGGGGGTACAGTGCACAAGTAGAGTGCTATAATTTGTGTCGAGTTAACTAGGTCAGTGTGAGCAAATGGCAGACACCC